AGAGGAGCCTACCCTTTGATGGAAACTTCCTGTAACCACACTCAATAATGCAAATTTGTTAATTGCAATGGCAGATATTTAAAAAAAAAACAAAAGGTTAAAATAATTTGGTTAATGGATACCAGTTAAGATTGCGAAACCCAACAGGGACTTTGTTAGATTTTTAAGCTTCTTCGCGTTAAAGTTACACTATTTAGACATTGATGTGCGCACACTTCGATTAATTACCATGGATTCTGGCACTTCTCTTGCACCAATTAAAAAACATATACTACTGTAAAATCAACCAATCCTTCCGAACATCTTCAAATAGCAATTTAATTAGGTAGCATATATATATATATATATACATATATATTATTGTTAATAATGATACTAAAGAAATAAGATAGGAATAGGAATGGAATGAGAAACTTCATGGAGGTATCATCTACCAAGTTTCAGATTTTCTTTTGGCCATTGGGATCCAAAATGTGGCATAAAGTCTTAAAGACACTTGGTTTAAATATTATTAACATAAATATTGTGTATTATTAGTTAATATCTAGTGCATTTTAAGTACACAATTGTTTTCAAAGGATACTTACAATTGCAGCATTGACAGTAACTTGTTTTTAATTCCAGAGTTGCACATTGTCTCATCCTATTGTAACTTCATTTGTGATGGAGAATGCCATCTCCATTCTCCAATAACTTCTTGTTGCACAAACGATTTCAATAAGTTAAAGAAAGAAGAAAAAAAAAAGTAATGCAAAAGATATATTGTAACCCAAACATTCTGTAAGAGAGAGAGATTTCATGGGAAAATGGTAAGAGTATAGGTTTCCCCCGCGGTGCAAAGACCAAAGACGAAGTTTCCTTGCCATTTTCTAAGGGTTGTGGGAAAAGGGGAACAAAGGGGCACCCAAATCAGTGATCTTTGTGCTACTACAAAGAGTAAAAGCAAGGACAATTGCAGTACCCCAAGGCATGAAATGTTCTTTTAAGCAAAGGTGACTGTAATCCAGCATGCAAATACACTTTTATATATATATATATATATATATATACATATTCATTTCTCTCCTTTATGGGGTTTAGGGCTTTGAGTTGTAATGTAGTGAGAAATAAGATATACATATATATATATATATTTGCATTACTTTTTGGGATCTCCTCATGCTCTCTAGAGAAGCTCTAATTAAATAATTAATTAATTAAGAATCTGATCATTAAAAAAAAAGAAAATAAAAGAAAGGAGCCCTAATTAAAGGATTTGCTGGTCCCCAAGAAGCATGTGGTTGGGGTAGATTTCCTCTCATCTATTTTGGTGTTTTTTAGCTTTTGTTAAAGGAATCAAAGCATGCTATCAAGCATGTGATCCCATCTATGATTACATGGTAACCCCAATTCTTATTTCTTTAATCACCTCTCTTATTAGCTATATATATATATATATATATTTACGTGACCCTCTCTTCCTCTCTCTCTCTCTCTCTCTCTCTCTCTCTCTTTGAGGACACACACTTGCGCATTAATGGCAAATTATACAGCCAGCTTAATCTTCTTACAATGCTAATCTTGATTATCGAGATTATTGTTATAGATAATTATAATTGAGTGATTTGGACATACCTTAATCTTGATAAAGTGTGTTTCAAACTTGATTGATAATTAAGGGCGTGGGTAGAGCCAGAACTGCCTTTAGGGATACCTCAATCACATAAAACAAAAATATAATGTCTTACGTACTCATTTCCCCATGATTTAATAAAACAAAAGAAAAAAAAAACTATGCTTCCTCCTGATTAACAGTAATCCCTGTCCTATTCTTAGCCTTTTAATTAATTCATTTTATTTAATTGGGTGGCTTTCTGTTCGTTTGTGCTTTGTCTTGAGCATGCCTCCACATTAACATCTAGGCAATGTCTCCCCTCACCTTACTATACGACAAAATCAACATTCCAGTGGACCCAATTGCATTCTACTTAAAATAAAATATACATACTGTGTGTACCCATTTCTGCTCCATATCTTGCTTTTATTATTATTGTTTTAATTTTTCATTTCTCAGTACTTTCTTTTCTTATTTGATTTATCACTTCTATGGTGCTATTATAAGTATGCAAGATATCCAATGAAGTCAAATGAAACTACTTATTATCTTCTCTTTAATGAAATTAATTTCTACAATTTTTTTTTATTCAGATTGTTATTAAGGTAAGCAAAGGTCAAATTTGTTCTAACTTGCAAGGAGCTAATTAAGGACTCTCAAACCCTTTATAAAGTATTTGATGATTTAAAACGAAATTTGCATGCATGTTTTGAATTCCAATTGTTAATTAACGTATGCTAATAAAAAAGGATCCCTATAAGGAAGAAAACGACTACCCTAGAAAATAAATTTATCTATAGATCCCTAAGAAATGCACATACGGTTTTTTATAGAGGCATAAGAAATATATCAATAATGAAAACTTGCATTAGTTTAATGCCAAATGTCTCCAAGTTTTGGCACTGATGCCAATGTCATTGAGCTGGCCAATGTCTGCCCTTGATTAATGCGACCTTGTCTGGCCTCTCATAGACCAAATGGCAAGGCCTCCAGCCTCATGCCTTCAGCACTTGGGATGTGATTGGCCGAATTATTGCCCCCAATCACCATGCCAACTTCTCTCTCTCTTATATATGATCCATATCTCAGTGTTTTCTTCCCTTTTTTTTTTCAAAAAAAGAAAGTTTTCTGGTATATTCTGCTATTTGTATGATTACTTGGGGGATTATTATTAAATGGTGGGAGGTATGTAGGTAGGTTTTAAGAAGAAAGGGGTAGTGGTGCTAACTGCCGAGAGAGGTCTTCTGCCAGTTGTGATCCTACTAATTATATCTTTATAATGTAGTTAATGTGGAAAAGCTGGAACAGAAACCCTCGTGCTACGGAGCATAGAGCAATGACCTACACATAATCTCTCGATATTTTTCTATGAATAAAAATCTGCCAAATGATTTGAGAATACTAACATATCCCTGGATTTGTACTTATCATATATATATATATATATATATATATTCATATATTCTTTTATTTTTAAATTTGAGGTATTTTGAGAATGGGGATATAATCTTTCACTATAAGAGTGATTCGAACTTTATCATAGTTTTGAAAATAAATAATAATCGTTAAATTAAATTTGAATCTTTGATACACATTTGATTTTAAAACTTACCATTTTTCTTTTTTTTTTTTGGATTTTTGTACAATGATCCTTTGTTTTCTTTGAATTTCTCATGAAAAATGATTTTTGATAACATAAATATCAAAACGATTTATAACAAGCTAAGTTAACCAACATCGTTTTGAAAACTGGGTTTTGTCACCTTTATAGTTACTCTTTTACCTACACATTATTTTCCTTTTTATGCTTTTTTATTGGACTAAAGTCAAATCTGTCAGTATACTACGTGTCAAATTTAAATTTTTTTCATTATAGAATTTCATTAAATTTTGTCATTATATTTTCAATTTTGTTTATTTTTAGGCAAAAAGTAACGTAATTGATAAAAATTTGTCACTTATGACAGCAGAATAATTTGTAAAATATTCTAATTTTGATACTATTTAACTAAAAATTAACAAAATTAAAAATATAATGACAAAATTCAATAAAATTGAAGTACAGTGCATTCAATATTAAACCATAGTGTATCGTTTTTTCTATTATAATGAATTGTATTTTCATATATGTAGACAAATAAAATTACTTTGATTTGAACCTAGGAAGGATATGGTGGAAACCTCTTAGATCCCCAAGTGGCGAGTTACCACAAGAACAAACATTACTACTACTATCATTTTTCATGTAAAGTTTAGGTTT